TTTTGTAGATATGCCTAGAGGATCCAAAACTAATGCACCAATTAGAAAGATTAGAAAATTTAAAATTAGTGAAGTGGGGTTCAGAAACCACATAATTAACAATATCATTCTTTTCAGTTTTTCTCTTTTTATTATTTGATTCATTCATATTGCATTCAAGGCAATTATATTTTTGTATATCCTTGTTTTCCATAGTTAAAGCAATGTTTACCTCTGGTTTTGTTGAACCCTTTTGAGAACGTCAACTTTTTATTAAATTTCTTTCCATTGTGTTTAAAGTTTTTTCCCTTAGGTTAGCCACTTTGGAAGTTTTAGTTGATTTGGAAGCAACCATTAGGGATGATGTTTATGTTTAAAATTTCATCCAATTGTGTTTAAAATTTTTGTCCTTTACATTGTGTTATATTTCTTACTTTCAAGTTTCAACCTCTAAACCCTACAATTAAAGTAGGTAAATTTTTAATATTTATTTCCCTTTCAGACAAATTTAGATTTGTCACTACTGAATTCCAAGAAGGTGGAGGGCTATTTAGAACAATGGCTACTAATTTTTTCAAGAATAGGATTTTTATTAGTGACTACCAGCTCTTTGGCTAGCACATTCATTTTGCTCACATGTTCAACAATGGAATCATCTTCTCTCATTTCAATGTCATAATATTTTTCAATCAATAAATGATTATACATTTTAGTAATCTTTGCATATATATTTCTTTAATAGCTTTAAACATATCCTTAGTATTATTATACTCTTCAAAAATAGCTTTTATATCAGGTTCCTAGATCTGATATCCATCCACCCAACGAATAGCTCCAATTGATACGGAAGCACAAGTTGATGTAGATTTCTTTGTTGAGTTTCTAATGGCATTGTAGAGAAGACTCAAGTGGCTAAGAGGAGTGGGCCTTGACGCTCAAGAAAGAGAAGAATACAACACTTGAGCAGTTCAGATTTATGCCGGTGCATGGTCTCTTAGATTGTATCGAAGAAGATGAATAGAATGGAATAAGTTGTTGTTGTCGTAGTCCCTTGAACATTGTATATTTGTATTCAATCGAGTTGAGACGAAACTCTCGAATAGGTATTTGGTCTCTCTCCTTTCCTTTTGAGACTTAAAACATGGGTCGTGATTCAGTGGAGCGTGGCCACGCTTAATATGTTACACCAGTTGAACTTGGGGCTCTGATATCAATGGTAGACGATGAGAGAGAGAGAGAGAACCTAAAATCCTTTGTTTGTAAGGTGTGAATCTAATGGATTGGAGACATTGTTCTAATACCAACCAAATAAATTTTCTTTTTGTGGAAAATAATAATAATAATTTAAGAAAAAAAGGAAAAATGTTTGGTTGTGTGTGAAAAGTATTGAACAAAGATATCCATAAAACAATTAATCTTCCATCAACATATGGCTTGTCATATGGTCATTGGATATTCTAACATGTTGAGGATCAAACGAGAGCCTATGGCCGCTCTACTATCAATTACAACTCCATGAAATCAACAGAAGAGGGTAGTGGCTCAGAACAATGACAGTATCACAATACTAGGAAGGATTCTTGGTTTATGGATAGAGAAAGAGAGAAGAAGAGGTTAACAACGGAGCTCAAACTTGAGTGGCATGGAAGTATTAATTTCTCCGATGAAGTATTAAGAAAGGCTTTATTAATTAGAGCAATCAACCTGAAACCTAGCCCACCGAAAACATAGATGAATAGAACTGTATACCGAGATTTCCTTGAAATGTTTTGAATTCCTATGAGACCCTATTGGAATTCCAAGTTATGGATTCAATAGCTTCCAAACTTTGAAGTTAAATGAATTATTAAGGTATGAGAATTAGTTGGTATTTTGGAGTCTTTGGGATGATCTTGTAGACAAAACTAATACCGGTTTAAATGATTGCGTTGTGTGTATCCCATGCGCTTATGACAAAACAGGTATCACTATCATAAATGGTCACATTTAACCCAAATGCAATTGATACAATAAATCAGTAACTGCAAGTTTCCTTTTAATTAAAAAATAAGCAAATAATAAATAATTTAAAAAGATAGGACCCATTAATAATAATTAGGATTATAATTTGGGTAGACCCAATCCAAGTCTGATTAGGTCCAAATAGGGGTGGTCATGAGTTGAGTTCTTCACGAGTTATTCGAGCTCGACTCTACTCGGTTTGAATCGAGTTTTGAGTTGAACTTAAGCCCAATTTACAGGCTTGATTAATAAACGAGTCGAGCTCGAGTCTAATAGAGCTCGGCAAGTTCAAATATATATATATATATATATATATATATATAATAAAATTATAGAAAATGATATATATAATAAAAATATTATAATTCTTAATTTTTTAAATATCAAATAATGAAATAAAAAATATTTTTATATATAATTTTTTTCTCAAATTGAATTCGAGCTTACGAGTTTTTGACTCGAGCTGAACTCGAGCTCAAGGTTCTAGTTCGAGCCTCATACTATTTGGCTCAGCTCAGCTTGAATCCACCCCTAAGTCCAACTTGAGGTTTTAGGCAGGCTGGACTTCAATTTGGGTTCTAGGATGGATTTCGTGTAGAAAATTTGAACTTTGATCTAAACTGATGCCCAAACTTAAACTCTACACTTGGGTTTGGTGCAGGTTACAAAATTGAACTTAATAATATAATAAATATCATTTTATACCTTTACTCTTTACCTTTACCAAGCATATGCCCTTACACCAGTCATCTCTTATATACACACTCTATACATATGTACAATATGTAGACTTGTTCATGGACTGGACTAGGGCTTGACTTTATTCTAATGGGCCCAAGCCGAGCCCAAATTGGGCCCAAAGCACAGTTCATGAACAAGTCTAACAATAAATATGTGGTCAATCAGCGCCTTAAATTAGGGCTACAGCAAATGGGGCCGGATCTATTAACAACAAAATACTTTTCTAATAAGTTTCAGCATGATCAGTGTTCACACATCTTACCATGAGACTGGACTCACCATGGTAAGATGTACGAACACAGATCATGTTAGAATTTGTTGAAAAAGTATTTCGTTGTGTGCAGATCTGATCTCACAGCGTATATCATAACAAATTATGGAAGAGTAGTTGACTCACCGTATTAAGCAACTATAGACGGAAGAAACCTCTTTTACCAATCATCCTCTTAAGCTAGGGTTCCAATAATAAACTATGAAGCACACTCATGGATGGCTTTCCTCATTGTGTTTACTTTAGTTAGCCATTGAAAACGTATCTGATTTACTTGTGAACATAATAGGAATAATTGTTTAGCTTGGACTCCAATTCTTGTAGTTTACAGATATTGTGTTAAAATATCCAAAACAATTCAATCAAATCCATAATCTGATAGGCCAAATCACTACTTGATTGTGTTTACTTTAGCCATGGAAAACGTATCAGATTTACTTGTGAACATAGGAATACTTGTTTAGCTGGGACTCCAATTCTTGTGCATTCTTGGAATGTTTTTAAAATTGGACTGGACTGGATGGTCAGATCAGAAAAACCGGAAATTGGTCACTGGTTTCGTTTCAGTTCAGAATCGCTTTTTGGTAAAAAACTATTTATTTAATCAGCAAATCGTTGATCTGGACAGTTGAACCATCGACCCGTTGGCTCAAACAACAGTTTTGGCCATTTTTACTTTTATTATTATTATTTTTTTATCAGAACAGGCCATCTGTTTGGGTCAAACAGTTGGTCCATTTGACCCAGAAACTGGACCAGAATGATTCCCTGTACAATTTAGTTTTAAAAACCTTGGATTCTTGTAGTCTACGGATATTGTGTTAAAATCAAAGTTCAAAATATTATTATGTATCAGTCCGTTTCGAAGCCTTCCCAATACAAAAATAAATAAATATATAAATAAAACACAAAAAAAGCACCAATACTACACCTTACCGGCGTATCATACCAGCCTGTATCAATATTTAAAACCTTGGTTAAAATATCCAAAACAATCCAATCAAATCTATAGTATGATAAGCCAAACCACTACTTGATTGAAGCCATCCAACAGTTAAACAGCCAAACTCTGTTACTTATCTCTATCCTACACCACTGAAAATATATGGAGAGTTGGAGACTTACATAATTTTATCTTTCTTCATAAGTAAGTAAGAAAGAAAGAAAAATAAAGTTTTAATCAACAATTAAGGATAATGTGAATTTGAGGTCGGGGAGGTAATTGAAGGCGGCAAACAGGGCATGAATTGGACCTGGACAACCAGCTGTCGATACAAGAAGTGTGGAATCTATGGTTGCAGCCGGGGAGCACCCGGCAGCGGCTGTCTTCCGTGAGAGCATCCAAACAGATGGCGCATTCGGAACTGGAATCTTCTCCGTCACCCACATCCACAGTCGGATGGGATCGAACCGACAGAGGCAAAGATGGATCAGGGCGATGGCCACGGCGTCTTTGATTCGACATTCTCATCTCCATGCACTTGCGGTAGAGAGAGCAAGTAATATTGACCATGAAATAGAATGCAATGAAATAGCCGAAGAGCAGGAAACATAAGGCCGTAAACGTGAAGACACCATTGAAGGAAGAAGTAGCAGCGGGAGTAGCAAAGGAAAAAGGACTATCTACTGGCGGGAGCATTGCTTTTTTTGGCTTTTTGCTTTTGCTTTTGGTTGATGGTTTTGTTGCTAGATGAATGGTGATGTAAACTGTAAAGATCTGTTACACACTCAACTCCTATATATAGCATGTACGTACGGGAGAATGAAATTGTAGTCCTGTTTGGACTAGGGTTCAAACTTCAAAACTAAAATCTTCTCCTCGTTGGGTACGGATTATGTCCTGATTTTTTTTGGATCTAATGTAGCACATCTGCTGTGACCGTGGTTGCAGATTATCTTACAACCGTCCACGTGTCCAGCCTTTCGGCCACTTGGGATGGGACCACGTGTGACTCACCTGAAGAGTGAAGGGCAATATCCTCCCGCAGAGATGATCAGTTGTCCTTCCTCCTTCCTGTATAAAACCCACTTCGACCATTAGCATCACCCCCTCTTTTCCCCTCTCTCTCTCTCTCTCTCTCTCAGTGTGTGAGCCTGTTTTACTCGTTAATGGCGGCCGCCAGCTTCTCCCCATCTGTAACTTCTCCTGTTTCTTCATCCAAAACCCTAAATCCAGTCTCGAAGACCCTAGGCCTGAGGCTGGGCATTCTATCTTCCTCTTCTAAAACCCTGAGACCTCTCCTTGCCCGTGTCTCGACGAGTTGTGCCGCTTCCACCAGGGGATCCGCTCTTGGAGCTCGCATGGTCTCAGTACCTGCGATCAAGCCCATGATTTCGCTCGATTTCGAGACTTCTGTGTTCAATAAGGAGAAGATAACCCTTGCTGGTCATGACGAGGTAAAGCCACTGCATTTCTCCGTTCAATTTTATCTCAGTCTATAAGCTTTTTCTTTCCTTTTCCTTTTTGGACCATTTTTGTTTATCCCTTTGGGTATTTTTGCAGTATATTGTGAGAGGTGGGAGAGATCTGTTCCCCTTGCTGCCAGATGCCTTCAAGGGGATCAAGCAGATTGGCGTCATTGGGTGGGGGTCTCAGGTGAACTTCGTGTTCTTCAGTTCTTGCATGAGTTTTACGGTTCTGGTTGAAATTATGGGTGTGGTAACTCGATTCAGATTATTCTTTTCTGTAACACGACTTCCTTCTCCCTTAACTTTTTGCTATGTATTGTAGTTTTCTGACATAGTATTTGTTTGGTTTGTCCTTGTGGCGTGAATGCCATCTTCAATGTCCACTTATTTCCTTTTTCCCCCGATGGCCATAACACTACTGATATTTGCTGGTATTTTGGGGGTGATGTCGTCTACGGTTAAAATGCTATAGATGTTGATCTTGTTTAGCTTCAGTTGTAGCGTCATGGTTGTTGTCTTGGACATTATACAAATATTATTCATTATGATCTTTAAACTGATCTCTTTTCTACCATAAAAGTTTTCAACTTTGTAATTATTTTCTCCTTTGTAACTGTGGTTCTTTTATTTAACAACTACCATACGAGAGTTGTATAGACAATTTATTGTTTCTTTAATTCTCTTGACTCTGTCGATTTATTTGATGCCTGTCTAAGATTATCCCTTTGACACTGACAAGACTGCTGTACTTTAATGTGTGTGACCTCATCTCTTTATAGTTCCAGAATTGATTTTTGATGTATATTTCCATTTTCTTTGATATTTCCTTAATTCCTTTAGAAGCTGCATATTAATCTTTCCAGGCGTATTAAGTAATTACTCTCCCTTTGCATTCCATTTAGGGGCCTGCCCAAGCTCAGAACTTGAGAGATTCTCTTGCAATTGCAAAATCCGACATTGTGGTCAAGGTGAATTATTTATTCATATGTGTTTATCCAAAACGAATTTCTTACTGATAAAAGAAGCAAAAGATTTTCTTGCATCTACATTTCTATATCCAATCAATGACAATCTCAATTTAGTTATCTTGTCGTTTTCACAGATTGGTCTGAGGAAGGGCTCACGTTCCTTTGAGGAAGCTCGTGCTGCTGGTTTTACCGAAGAAAGTGGTACCCTGGGTGATATATGGGAAACTATTTCTGGCAGTGATCTGGTGTTGCTATTGATTTCCGATGCAGCACAGGTTAGAAGATTTTACACAGAGATGATAGATCTACCCTTTCTTTGTGGTGCTTCAGTCAAATCATTCCCCCCACCCATCCACCATTCTTTCTCTTTTTCCCCATTTTGTTTGTCTATGATTGCATTGCAGCCACAACAGTCCAGGTCCAGAAGACTTTTACTAGCATATGATATTAACATCTTGCAAATCTTTAAAGGTTTCTTAGTGGAATTTTGGTTTTATCATTCTGCAAACACAAGAGACCCTACTGATTAAGAGTTACACAATTGACTCAACTCCATATTTCCTTTTACTTAATCAAGATGAATTTTAACCTATTAAAATAAAATAAAAGAAGGATATAGAAAATGGAACAAAACTAAAAGACTTGATCAATTGGTTCATCTTACAAGCACAATATATTATACAAGCTTCTCTATGAGGTTTCTTCTACATTTGCCAGTTTTTTATAGTAAAAACTTCTACTGTTATTGACTAGAAAATGTTAAAATGAATAATCCACAAGGTGGATTGGTTTCCAGTTAAGCTAAGGTTGTCTTTGGATCCAGGCAGAATTGAGGGGCTCAATTCCACAAGTTGCAGGATTCTGCTAATTTGGCTCCATTTTCACAAGGAAGTGGAATTTGAAACCTAGAATAATTTATGGGGCAATTTGTTGAAGTTTCTCAACTGAAAAGCTTATTGCTTTGTCTTTTGGTGAACAAGTTTCTAAGGAGGTTGTGAGCTTCTAATAGCTGAAGGAAAGCTGGTAGATTACTACTATACCCTTGGATATTTTACTAAGTAGTTATTTTATCCACTAAATGACAAAGCAATAAGTCATTCAGTTAAGGAACTTAGCTGTTATCAAAGGCCCCTAGTTACGTATGAGTTTCACGAAGAGGCGAGAATGGATTAAAATTCCAATTCCATTGCTGTGACCCAAACACCTGACCACTTAAGTAGTATCTGTAGCACAAACCGTTGCTGGTCCCAGATACCTGGGTTTTTGGGAGAGATGGATAGATAGACTTTTGGAATTTTATGCACAAAGACTTGAACTTATGTTGGCACACTTGTCAGCCTGAGGTTTTACCATTGTACCAAGCATAGCCCCTCAAGGTATATCTGTGACAGATTTTAAAATGAACTATGCACGTATTCCTAGTTATTTGCCTTTCTTTTTAACTTCTGAACAACTTTTTGTGCTAATGGTTTGCTCGATCCTTGGTTGCAGGCAGATAATTATGAGAAAGTATTTTCTCACATGAAGCCAAACAGCATACTTGGGCTTTCTCATGGGTTTCTTCTTGGACATTTACAGTCATTAGATCTTGATTTCCCTAAGAATATTAGTGTTATCGCTGTATGCCCCAAGGGAATGGGCCCCTCTGTCAGAAGACTGTATGTCCAAGGCAAAGAGATAAATGGCGCAGGAATCAATTCTAGCTTTGCTGTCCACCAGGTCTCTGTTATCTTCTGAATGACCATTTTTTCTTCTCTGGGATTTAAAAGGCAAAGTTTTTGGGTTTATTTGGCTCTCTTTTAAGTGGAACTTTTGGCTTTATTACAAATAAAAAAAAAAAAAAAACTTCGGTTCAATTTGTTTGCAGTACAACTTCATTTGCACTGGTGCAAAATGTATGGGAGTGCAACTTCTGCATCCAGCTTGGTTTGCACTGCTAATAAAGAGACCAGAAACTGCCTCTTTATTGCACAGATTTATATTTATATTTTCAATCTATTGAAATTATTCAAATAATCTTGTGCAGGATGTTGATGGTAGAGCTACAGATGTTGCGCTTGGGTGGTCAGTGGCCCTTGGCTCTCCGTTTACATTTGCCACTACACTGGAACAAGAGTATAAGAGTGACATTTTTGGGGAGCGTGGTAAGCTCATTAGTGTCTTATTAGCTGTCATTTTTTGTTGATAATCTTGTTACGATTTCTTATTTATTGTTTTGTCGATTTATTCTTCTAGTCACATGTGTTTGATTTATAGGCATTTTACTTGGTGCTGTTCATGGAATTGTGGAGTCCTTGTTCAGAAGGTACACTGAGAACGGTATGAGTGAAGATCTTGCTTACAAAAATACCGTCGAGTGCATTACAGGAATTATATCCAAGACCATCTCAACTAAGGTTATTCTAGAATTCTTCTTCCATTCCCCTTTTCTGCCTCTGCTTTTGGAAATTGTGCTGAATGGGATTTTTTGTTTCATTTTCTTTTCCGTAGGGCATGCTGGCTGTCTATAATGCCTTGTCAGAGGATGGTAAAAAGGAATTCGAAGCTGCCTACAGTGCTTCATATTATCCTTGTATGGATATCCTGTACGAGTGCTATGAAGATGTGGCTTACAGGAGTGAGATTCGGAGTGTTGTCTTGGCGGGGCGTCGCTTTTATGTATGCGTTATGACCATATCCACTCCTACCATCTCTATGTTTTTGCCCATAATGTTGTGTTGTCTTAATATCTGGTCTTTGATTTAACCAATTAGATTACCTTGAAGTTTCACAATCATTTTCACATAGTACCAACTAAGGAGGTATTTGGGATTGAATATGATTCCTCTGATGAGATTTTTCATAAATCATCATCAATCCTCTTTAGTTGGCACTATGTAAAAATGATTGTGAAGCTTCAAGGCAATCTAGTTGGTTAAATCAAAGACCAGATATAAATCACTGATGGAGATTGTTCGTTTGGTACCATTGCTGCCATGTCAGCCGATTCCTGAGTTTGCTTGGTAGTGATTATTAGCAGTGATTTTTCCTTTTTAGGAACCATCTCCCCTATCCATATTACATGCCACGTCATCCAAAAAAAATCAGAATCGGCCTGAAAAGAGGAACCATATAAAAAGGGTGATCCCTCTTTTCAGCCCAATTTTAATAATCGATTTCTGACCAACTTAGAAATTGGCCAACCAAACAGCAAAATAATCAGTAATTTTTGAACAGGAAAAAGAGGGTTTACCAGCATTCCCGATGGGTAATATTGACCAGACCAGAATGTGGAAAGTTGGTGAACGAGTACGATCAACAAGGCCAGAGGGGGACTTGGGTCCGTTGCATCCTTTCACTGCTGGTGTCTATGTGGCCTTAATGATGGCTCAGGTAAGAGATACATTCCTATTATTGGTAGATTGATCTGAACCATGTTTTTATTATCATTCGATTGACATTTGTGAGTTTATTATATCATCAAACATTTCAGATTGAGGTATTGAGGAAGAAGGGTCACTCTTACTCAGAGATCATCAATGAAAGTGTGATCGAGTCAGTTGATTCATTGAACCCTTTCATGCATGCACGTGGAGTCTCATTCATGGTTGATAACTGTTCCACAACTGCAAGGTTGGGATCTAGGAAGTGGGCTCCGCGCTTTGATTACATTCTTACCCAACAGGCTCTTGTGGCTGTGGACAAAGGCACTCAAATTAACCAGGACCTCATCAGCAACTTCCTGTCTGATCCTGTGCATGGAGCCATTGAAATCTGCGCTGAGCTAAGGCCAACTGTCGACATATCAGTACCTCCTGATGCAGATTTCGTTAGGCCTGAGCTGCGTCAATCTTGAAATTAGACTTGGGATGAGGAGGCTATAGCCTATATCCACCTGTGTCCTTTTTGATAGTTGTTGCTTTGAATTAGCTTTCATGAAGAGGATATAAGGATGAATCCGTTTCTTTTTTTTTTTCCTGCATCAAGTGCTCTACGAGTTGTAACGTTGTAATGTTGTGCTGAGTTTTGTGAACCGTGCAGAAATTAATAACACATCTTTATCTATTTAGTATTATTACTGCTGTTGACTATAATTATTTAATAAATTGCAACTCCACTGGCAGAGTTAATTTGATGCTATGTGGAATCATATGACATGCAGTTGGCACTATTTGGAGGGGGAGGTTGGTCATGTGCAAAATTGACATCCCACCAACTCTACTAGCAATCCTTAAAAAACATGCTTATACGAGGGATTTTGCGCCAAGCCTCCAAACCCGGCATAATTGGGTTGACTTATGAATCAGTATTGACAATATCAACTGATTGAACATCGGTCCATCGGTGGTTTGTTATGACCACCGAGTGGCAGCTTAAGAAAAATTAGGGTAAAAGATTAAAACCTCCCCTAATATTCCACCCAAATACTGAAGCATCCCTTCATTAAAACCACTTTACAGATAATAGCTGAAGAGATCCTCTGATTGGCTTCATAAAACCACTTTACATGCGTTCGTATATTTTACAAAAAAATTTGTTCAAAAAAACTAAAAACAGATTTAATTTTTTTGTAAATAAGGTCCTTTATTCAAGTTTGCGTTTGTATATTTGACAAAAAAAAATTGTTCAAAAAAACTAAAAACAGATTTTATTTTTTTTTATAAATAAGGTCCTTTATTCAAGTTTGCGTTTGTATATTTTACCAAAAAAAAATGTTGAAAAAAACTAAAAACAGATTTTATTTTTTATGAATAAGGTCCTTTATTCAAGTTTGCGTTTGTTTATTTTACAAAAAAAAAATGTTCAAAAAAACAAAAAACAGATTATTTTTTATAAATAAGGTCCTTTATTCAAGTTTTCTTTTGATGGGTGAGGAGAGGTTTTGTATTCACACAAGACAATCGATTGAGGCAAAGAGGTAATAAAGGGTATCATCGAAATTAAAAAAAAAAAAATTAACAGAAAATGATGTCATGTGTTAACAAACAGAAGGAGAATTTAAAGGATGGGAGGTTTGTGCCCATTGATGTCATTTAAGAGGTGAAATTTAAGTTCAATTTGAAAAGTGAGGATGTTTCAGTATTTAGGTGAAATTTCAGGGGAGATTTAACTCTTCTACCCTAAAAATTATGATTAAATGAACCATAACAGGCCAAAAGCCTAAATTTTATGGGGATCTGTCTGATTGTCCAATGCAGTCTTGATGAATGAAAGGTGGCAACTGGCAACTGGCTCATATTAAGGTCTCCTGGGATCGAATCCCTCCGGTGGATTATGGATTTGAGCCTTTGGGAGATAAGCTACCCCGTTGTGACGAGCAGCTCCATGGAACCAAAAAGAAAAAGAAAACATTGGAGAAAATAAAAATCTTTAATCTCAGTTCTTGATCTAGGACAAACATTGTTTTCATGTAAAACTGATTTTGGCATTTTTCCTGTTGTTATCAAACATTAGTACACCGCCAAATCAAACATTTATGTATGGATGAAAAAGTGATTGATGGGCAAGCCCAACTTATAATTTATCATCACGTCCATCAGTCCGTGGCTGATTTTGGTTCACCTTTAATTGAAAATTTGAAACAACGTGCTTATGAACGAGTATATCCTATGTCCAGGGTTATCATGTATCGGAGCTCTCAAATAAGTCTCTACCATATTCCCAAGAATTTTGAATTTTATGGCTTCATAAGGATATTCTCATACCTCCCCCTCTCCCCCAACTAAAAATAAAAGGAGGAAAATGAACTGAAAAACATGAAACCAAAATTGGCACCCTTAGAAAATATAAAGCCAGGATTGGTGATCGACTGGCAAACCAGTTAAAGGTAAACCAAGCGATTTTGCAGTCTGCACAAGTTGTCCCATTTGCACCAGGAACCGGTAAAGATGCTACTCGTCATAATATGAAGTTGGACTTTTTGAGCAGCTCTCAATTTCATGAAGTTCCAGTAACTTCTTTTCTGGGTTGCAAAGTCCTGTGTGAAGATAACCATGTTAGTATTATTAGTGGCTATCGATCTCTCAGATAGGTGAACTATAGTTCTGCTAAATTAATCCTTCTGGGCAAATTATATATAGGAAAAAAGCCTCCCACATCTTGGTAACAGTCAACTAATCAAAGACAACATCCAATTCAATAGTTTACAGAGATCTTCAACCAAATATTCAACAAGTAATTTCTAACCTGTATCTGATCAAAATGGAACTTCTATATTACAGTTTTATTTTATATCAAATGACCAGATTAGTGGACTCAACTGGACAAATCTAAGGACCTAAAGAAACCAGCTTGCTGAGTTGGTTCTATGTGCAATGATCTTCCACCACTGGGTTTAGATCCACAAAAGGACCATAACTCAATGTTGGTCCCAGCTAGGGGTGTTTATTGTACAGTTCAAACCGCAAATGGTTTGGTTTGGTCCGCAAATTTCTCAAACCGTAATTTACTGATTTGGTCTGAGATCTTCTCCAAACAGCACAGAACCGGACTGTGAACACCCCTAGTCCTAGAAATCTGGGGTCATGGGAAGGGTGGACTGGATAAGTACCTAATCTTTGGCTTCTTCTTCTTTTCTTTTTTAATGGCTGCTGTCATACTTGAATCCACATTCTCATGCTTGTCAGCCTGAGGTTTTACCATTGCCACAAGAAAATGAAGCAATAGTCTCTAGTTTTAGATCCATCTTTACCTATAAATATGCTAAACACCCCATCATGGGTTCAGCAGGCCACTTGGCATAATTAATCCAGAAAAATAATTAGGTATATAACAGACAGCCACACTGTACTTATGGGGTAGTGACACTGCCCTCTGAACTTTGTTTTTTTTTGATGAATAAAATTAGAGGGTGGCGTGATTCGAACCCAAGACACCTATGCCCAATAATTAAACACACCTTTAACCACTAAGCCAACATTCATTTTATAAACATTTCTAAAATTAAACACCCTCTGAACTTTGTTTTGCAACAAAGCTCTCCCTGAACTTCTGGATTCCAGCACTTTGCTCCCACCATTAGCATTCCATTAGCATTCCATTAGTTATTTTATCATTTTATGAGACCATTTTACCTAATGTAGTTTTTCTAAAATCTCAACCCTTGAGAATGATATGGTTATTTTCATCATTTTGATATTTATTACTGTCTACCAAATGGATCTTGAATGTGTGAAATTTAGTAATTTTACTTTCACTGTCAACCCCATTAGTGGGTCAGGGGGGAAAAGTTCTGGAATCAAGAGGTTTGAAGAGGTACCCAAGGTAATAAAAGAGATTTTAGTAATTAAGAAAAAGTATAAAAAGAAAAACTATAAGCACCAACCTGAACACTTGGGAATATCCCACACAGCAATAGATGATGGTGTGCACTCTGGTTCACATAGTGCTTGATTGTCCTCATGGTTGACATTCATTGCAAGCATCCATGCACCAATTGTAACGTCCTCATTACTGAACATTCGGAAACTGTAATTTCACAAAAGAAATAGAGTCATTGTTAGATAGGAGGTGGAAATTCCAAAAAATATGAGATATTGTATGTAGATGATAACTATCATTATTTTCAAAAGCTGTTTCACCCAGAAAACCAAAGGTGGCAATGTTGACCTACCCAACAGCAAACTTGTTATGAACCTGTTTTATTTATTTGTTTGTTTTCATGTTTCTAGTTTGATAGCCCCCACTTCATACTTGGGACAGGTTGGGATGGAGATTACAACAATATCTGAGATAACCCAGCCAGCCAGTATCAGCCCCTTTTATAGTAGTTGTAGGTGGATAAGGTAATAGGCTAGTCAGGAACTCAGGGTGGCAGATTAAAGCTACCAACTAGTTGTACCAACTATTAGCTATACAATTGAATTTTCTTCCTAAGAATATGTTAGCCTATAATAACTACAAAAAGAAACATTTAACCAAAAAGTGTTTTATTGACACAAATATGGGAATCAGAATTTGATGCATCTCAGGGAGTATGACTTGGCAAGAAGTCAATGACTCTTGGAAACATCTACAAAAGATTATAGTCCATATGTTTTTTCCAATTCTAACATTATATACCTATGAATAAGGTCTGTAACTTTATCTCTGTTGCTTAATAATGGTTTTAGAAAAAAACGAAATCCATTGTGTACATTAACTATACATTTATGTCAAATAAGCAAGTAGATAAAAGAAATATTATGTAAAAGTGGCAATTAATAATTCATGGAGTGCCAAAATCGAATGTATGTCCAACATGGACATTTTATCCACTTAGGAGAGTCCATGCAACACTGGATGAAAATCTAATAAAGTGAATTCTCTTCCTTTATTGGTATTGAAAGACTTCCTACAATTACAATAGGGATTAATATAGCACATCTATCTAGTTCTATGTTAACAGTTCCCTGGTACCACCCCTTCCCTTCTGATATCTAAGATAACCATGGCATGAAAGTAATGGTTACTGGTTAAGTCCAGCAATACACAGCTACACACTTTAATTACTCTGATTGGATCTACTGAAGAGAAAACTTGATGAAAAACATATTTAGTGGAATCTCTGAGAACATACGTTGCAAGTTGCTGGTTAAATCTGAGCTCTAATATCTGGGGTCTGCATGATATTCTTTACTGCCATTCATTAGGGAAGAAATAACATTAAAATGATCAAATAGACAGAAACAAAAAATAATGACAAGATTTACCATAATATGTATTAAATCATCTATTTTTATGAAAACCATATTCAAAGAAAATCTTTATAACATTTCTATCAAACAATGAATTATTAATGGAGTGAAAATGCATTTGAGTTTTGTTTTGGATCGATATGAAAATGCATTGAAGTTCAATACACATTAGACATTACAAAAAAGTCAGTAATGTGATATGTTAATTGAATTTGGTGAATGTGTGCCACAAATGAAAACCACAAGATCCAGTACCAGTCTTTCCATGTGAGAGTGAGGAATAAATTATGAAACGATTGAGTGTAAATACTTGACTGGATAGGAAAAAGATCTTTACCTGTCATTTCTTAAAGCAACTAAGCTTGCTACCACATCCGCTGAAAGAGCATATATAGGACCATAAGCATGGAGAAAGTATTCCTTTCCTAGCAAATAAGATAGTGGCTCATACCTGAATTAATGCAAATTATCCAAACATTACATTATTGAAAAGACATAAGGCAGGGCAATCACCATTTTGAGATGTAAATGGTTAAAAATCACAAGTTCTAACCATAATGAAGGACAATATTACAACTAACCATTTGAGAGTTGGTTCAGTGAAAACTGGACCTTTTTTCATGCATCCAAGGTAAGTTTGAGGGTGAGAACGTTCTTTTGCCAAGAGTAGTGAAAGACGATCTAGTTATCAGAGAGAAAAGCTGTGAATTTACAAGTGCGGGAAAGAATGGAGGACACTATTGCACTAAAGTAAAATTCCAAACATGTCACCTGGCCTCAAATATATATCATCATCAGCCTTAACATAGAAATCTGAATCAATAAGTGCATAAGCAGCTTTAAAGAAAGCTAACCTGCAACAGAAAGACTATATAAGAGTTTTGTGCCAAAAAAAATTGAAAGGAATAAAAAAAGCATAACCAGATGAACTATACTAATCTACTTTTGGTACTAACGTTTTATACGGGAGCTTGCTGTACTCTTCCTCGATATCTAAGAGCATGAAATCATCATACTCTGCCACCTCTTTTCTGAGCTCAGACATCTTTGAATTATCATTTGTTCTTCCTATGACAAATCGAAAAGCCAATCCCGTAGACTCTTCCAAGCTGCAGGAAATTTGCAGAATTCAAAAGGGTGAAGATAAGGAAAGAAACTTTAACAGTCTATAAATTCGCTACTTAAAATCATTAAATGTATTCAACGGGTAACAGTACTTTTATCACATCCAGACAACATATGACAACTAATTTACTACGCTTCCCATCTTTGGAATTTGAATCTAATCCTTGCAAGATTTCCAACTTTCTTAATTCACTTATGACATAAGCCAAAACCATAAAATGAGCATTGTCATATCGTAACGGATAAAATAGAGGAAAATAAGACAAAGAAATCAAAGTTCAAGATCCAAGGTGGGAAAGTTACCGTTGAAGGCCTTGCTTATCAGAAGGCATCCAAGTCTTCCGCAACGATCTTCGCCTTCCAACGGATCCAAAACCAGTCTGTATTCCCACAAATCCCATCACTTTGTACCTTTTCTGATTCCCAACAGAACTAACGCGATTCAGATCCTCAACATGTTTCCCCTTCTCCCAAACAACAGAGACAGATCTAGCTACACTATTCTTACATTTATACCCAGGAGCGGGCTTTAAAATGGACACCAATCCAAAAGCAAAACTAGTGATTCCAATAAGAAGACAAAAGGCCAAAAACGAAGATCTCCGAACGTAAGAATACCTCGATGGGCGAGGGTAGTAGGCCTTAGGAGACGAAGGCATATCTTCTAAGTATCGCCTTCATAACCATAGAAAACTAGGGTTTTCTTAGAAGAAAACTAGGGGTTGCAGGAAGAACAGTAAGGTTACTGAGATTGCAGAGAAGTTACGGAAATCAGAGATTTCTCAGCAGAGCCAGAAACGAATGCCGGAGAGCATTCATGGCGCGAAAATTAAAAGAAGAAGCAACTGAATTACTAATTTCACTTCAAGGAATGGAACATAATAAGAGATCTTACAAGGAAAAAAATTGAAAATAATAAATAGAATAAAAAAATAAAAAGTAAAAGAATGTATGATAACGTATAGATTGATCTCCGGTGAGAGTTTTGTGCAGGATGAGATACCAAAGACCAAAGTAGAGGAGACCGGCTCTAGTCCCAACAACGGTCCAACAATCAGTCACAACAACTTATAGAGCCGCCTGTCGAGTGGAAATGTGGGTTGTGCTCAAGGTTCAAAGTATCGTTACGTATCGATCGATACGTATCGTTCTGGGACTCTTCCGATACGATCCTATAGTGGGTGTATCGGGGTCTGACCGGTTCAGGGGATGGAGGGGTCCTAGGTCGGCTCCCCTGGACCAGTTTTGAAAAAAAATAAATAAAAGTAAAAAAAACGAGTATCAAAACACCCGATATGCCCCTATCGGCGTATCGAGCGTATCGATATTTTGAACCTTAATTGTGCTCCGCCTACAGTGTTTTAGTACACAGTATACTTGGCCCACGTGTTGTGTTGGTAGCAGATCCCAACCCCTGACATAATAGTTGCAAATTTGCAATTACAATTGTTCTCAGCCGCCGTTGACCGGATGATCGGACCGAACCGGTTTTGTTTCACTCTTAATCCGGTCTTTGGCTAAAAAACATTGATTTAGTTAACAACCTGCTGACATGATGGTTGAACCGTTGATTTATTCAACGGTTTTGGCTGTTTTTTAATTCTAATTATTTATTTTTCAAGTTAAAACAGATTGTCTATTCAAACCGGATGGTCCAACCATTGGCCTGAAAAGCGATGGCCAGAACGATTCCACTTCTGCGTCAATTTTTTAAAACCTTTGCATTGCACAAAACGAAAAAATAGAATTCCGCCTACACGCTCTAAATCGTTTGGTTGGGCTATTATAACAATTGTAGAGGCAAGGGCCGCCTTGGTGGCCCATGACTGGCCACTAAGTTTAGAGATTTACAACTCATTTTGGTAGGAGATAGGAAGTTTATTGTCCATTGCATCAATGGAATTTTGGAGCTATCTTGGAGAATCAAGAAGATAAATTGATGATGATGAATGCCTCCAGATCGCAAGTAGGATTGAGCTCAAACACGTTAGGCAGTCCGGATCAGGTGAGTAAGCACTTCAAAAAAAATTTGGCATCTGTCCCTTTAAATACCCTACTTTACCCTTGAAAAAAAATAAAAATAAATTGAAGAAATTTTTATAGTTCAGTCCACCCTAGAGGTATGATTTTTAGGGGTCGACTGAATCCTGCCCATAGATTGAGTGCTCATTAAACGTACTGTGCCTACTAGATTTGGAATCGTTAGCAGGAATGCAATTCGGGATGGAGTTAATGCTAACCCAACTGGAGCTGTTGAACCCCTGACCCCAATTCTTTGGCCTTTGGGTTGGATTCCAGTTGGTCAGATTTTTCTACTTCCCTTTTGGTAAATGTTGGTATTAACTAAGCTCAAGGGTTCATGTTAATTTAATACTAGGGGAGGACGGCTGCGTTGCAGGGGCTATGAGAAGATAAAGTAGTTTTCAAATAAATATTATTTATGGGCTCATTATTTACATATAACCCGTACATTTAAGAAACTACTTAAATGTAAGTTCAGCTTCCATCAGTGGAAAGCCCGTTCAAACAGCATTTACAGCTTTGCATTAAGAATATCTTATACTTGTATACTTTATTTTATGGGGAGATATTCTCAATGAAAGGTTGTTGGAACGGTGTGAGTGTGGAATTGTACTAATCAAAGCCTAACTCCTTAATATACCTAAACTTTCAAAATCTATTTATATATACCTTGTTGACCAGCCCCACATAACATAATCATTGTTAATGAATCGTTTAGGACCATTAATCTAAACGTTTTTATAATGTCAATATTGCCCTTATAACTACTAAACACCAAACCACAGATGGGCTTTTGGCAACAATTCTCAAACATGTTTGTATTTTTATCTTATTTCTGTTTACCTGAACACTGTATTCATATTTTGGCCAACTCTACTGCTAAAAAACATTGAATTAAGGACTTACTGGGATCATTGTAAAACTTGGGGACAATGAAAGCTTCTATTACACGAAGTGCAGATCTGTAGATCGACTACTGGAACTAGAGTTCTCCTCTACTGTGGCTTTTGCTTCCAATAAAAAGGTTTACAACTCGTTGCAGGGCTCCTTGTTCAAAATGGACAATTGAACTGCCAATTTTTCACAACAATAGAGTAGTGAAGGTCAGGACTCAGAAAATCAAAATAAAAATAAAACATTTAAAGGAAGAGAAAATGAAGAGATTGAAGGTTTTGAGGAAGAGGGTAAGTGTGACTTACGAGATTCCTTCTTGATTCCGTCGATGAGGAGGTCGATGGCTTCGTCTTCAACATCTTCGAAACGGATCAAGAAAAAGAGAATATCTTATAGGGCATCGATTTTCAGGGTATAGCCTCTAATCTTGAACTTCCTTTGGACCTTCTTCCTCGTTCTTGTTCCCATCTTCTTCGCCCTGCTTACTCTCTCTCCCCTGTGTGTGTAACGACGGGAAACAATTAAAGGATTTGTTGGAGTTGGTGGGAAAAAAGGGGTTATGATAGATACATTCAAGGTCTGAAAATCCGAAGGTTGATATATTTTCACGCACAGAAGTTAGGGAAGTCCATGGGTTGTATCCGGTTCGGGACTAGGGGTGGTGATTTTATTTGTCAACTCGTCAACTCCTTGACACTGTCATTATAGTAGCAGATTCGGTCTCATATCCCCCTTCTCTCCCTCTCTCCCTCCCCCTTCTTTCCTTCCCTATTCTGCTACTCTTCTCCTTCTCCTTCTCCTTTGGTTCCATCCACCTCTGTCACCGCCAAGCTAGCAGTGGTAGTTCCTCTCCCTCAGTCTCCTCCCTCCCTCTCTCTTTTGGACATCATTGACGAGTTCACCTATTTTGAGAATTTAATAAACAGTTAAGGCTATTTTTGTCCTTTACCTTTTGTCTGGTACATTTAAGTAGTTTATTAAATATAACAAGGTATATATAAGTAATTATCCCTAAGTTTATTCAGGAGTTTACAAGATTGAAAATCATTAAAAAAAGAAAAATAATTTGTCAAAGAAAAATAAGTTATCTTTTTAAAAGAAAAAAATAAATTATTTTCATTAAATTAAAACTTTTTTAAAAACAAAACCCACACAACCTCTCTCTCTCTTTCTCTCCTAGCACAAGAGACAGACCCTATCGGGTCCTAGGTAACCCTTTCTCTCACCCTCTTCTCTTCTCTCTTAAACCCCATTATGACACAAGCTCCCATACAAACTCTCTCTCTCTCTCCTAACACGAGGCCCCATGAGGTTTCATTCAACCCTTCTCTTTCTTCTAACATTAGGCCCATTAGGTCCCACACAACCCCGCATTCTCTCTCCCACCCCAATAATGACATCGGGTCCCACACAATCCCCTCTATCTATCTCTTAACATTGGGCCTCGTCATTTCCCACACAACCCTCTATTTCTCTTTTAACACTAGGCCCACCGACTATCTTGGATTCAGATGATGCAATTATGTAATCAGATTGGATTCGGATGTTATAATTAGACATGTTCATGGACCAAGTAGCTCGACGGAGGGGCCCTTGCATTGTTAGTATACTCATCGACTATCTTGGATTCAGATAATGTAATTATGTAATCCGTATCCCATTTTTTTGTTAGTATATACTAGTGGAGGGGCCCTTGCGTTGCATAGGCTTGCAAAAGCTAAATTATTGTATAGGAAAAAATGAATTTGCAAAAGGTAAATTTTTTAATTAATATTTTTTAGTAAAAAGGATTTACTTAAAATAAGTAGAAATTTATGGATAATAATATATTTAATTTAATAAAATAAAATACTAAATAAATAAAAATTTTAGTTTTGAAGTCAATTTAATATAAATAAATCAATTTTGTTATTAAATAAAGATTACAATTTTTTTCTCAATTTCCTGGCTGGGCTTTGGGCTTTATATGGGGGTCGAGCTTGGGCTCAAGATCTGGACCTGATGGCCCGATTATGCTCAGGCTTAGGCCTGAATATGTTCCGTTGATATAAAGGCAAAGCCTAGCATGGCTTATGAAGAGGTTTAATTCCAACCCTGAGGTGGAGACAAGGGGACCCTAAGGAGCCATGGCCCCCTATGGCCCAAGAAATCCCCACTCTTCATGTATATTTTTCCACTCCCTCACTCCCCCACTCCCCACCCCAATGGTCATCCCTATTTATTCCCCCTACCTCCCAACCCAATTAGATTTTGGTACCCCTCATAAAAAATTCCTAGATCTACTCCTCCCCAACCTAGACCTAATCTATTGATAGCCCTAAATTACCCCCAATCCACTTAGATTTTAGCCCCCCTCATAAAAAATTCCTAACTCCACCCTTGCCCAATGCAAACCTAACCTATTGATAGCCCTAAATTATTAGGCTTAGGGAGAAAGATAAATAATTTGTTAGTAAAATATATTATTAACTAATTGAATAATTTAGTAAATTAAGTAAATAGGAAATTTATGGATAATAATTTATTTAATTTTGTAAAATAAATAAATCAATTATTTATTATAATAAAATAAATAACTATTCATTTATTATTGGGACATGATTGGTCCAAGTTATCTAGAACCATACCCGACCCATTGACAACCCTAAATATTGGGTGCATGTTGAATTAAATAAATAAAAATTATGGATAATAATATATTTAATTTAATAAAATAAAACAATAAATAAATAATTAAAATTTTCACTTTTGAAGTCAAATTAATATAAATAAATCAATTTGTTGTTAAATAAAGAACACAAATATTTTTTTTCTCAATTTCTTGGTTGAGCTTCAAGCTTTATATGGGTGTCGGGCTTGGGCTTAAGATCTAGATCCGATGGTCCGGTCATGCTCAAACTTGGACTTGAATATGTTCGATTGATATTAAGGCAAAGATCACATCCCGACGTGATCTATGAGTAGGTTTAATCCCAACCCTAGGGGTGGAGCCAAGGGGACCTAGGGAAGCCATGCCCCCCCTCCCCCCCACTCCACTTACATTTTGGCCCCCCTCATAAATATTGGGCTCAAACCTACCTATTGATAGCCCTAAATATAGT